TCTTAGATAATGTCTCTGCATCAGAAAGCAAATTGGAGACTGAGAACAGTTTTTGTCAGTGCACTTGGGTTGGTCTTAAGATGCTATGAGAGGCAGTCCAGTAACCTTGGTTTGAAATCATACAGTTGTCTTTAAATCCTTACCCCCACATCCCCCCACCATTCTGTCTGTTGTCAAATCCAGCTGATTTTGACTTTTTCTCGGTCCTTGTCTCCTAATCACGCCGTCACCATAACGTCCTTGCCCAAGGCTTCAAGGACCCTGTCTTAGACCCAGGTCAACAAACACAGAGCTTCTGACACTGTGTCACAATGGATGTGGTAGAGGCCGTGCTGGGTGGTGTGATGCCAGCTTGGCGTCTTAGCTGGGAGCAGGGACTTTGGCTCTAGCCTGCCTGGGTTGGAGCAGAAGTGACCAGGAGGGCCTTGCACAAGTTACCTAACCTCTCTTATCTGTAAAGGAGGGGCTGATGAGGATAGTTTCTACTTTCAGGCTTGGTATGTGGTGAGTGCTCGTAACTCTGAGACCAGAGCCTGGCACACCACCAGTGCCGTACGGGTGTCTGTTAATCATCCATCAGCCTCCCATTCCTGAATACATCCTGCCTTTTCCCATTTCTCCGCCATTGCTTGTACCGCGTCCTTAGTTTGCCGAGTTCCTGCCTGTGGAGATGTCACACAGCCTTCAGGGATTATGCAAATGCTACCATCTTCACCATGTTCTCCTTGCCCCCCTCCCCATCCCCCTGGTTGGAGTTACTCTTTTCAATTTGCTCCCATAGCACCTGTCACCTTTGACTTTGTCAAGGTCATTTATCGCTACTGATAGTATCACTTGCGTTCTGCTTTGTGTATGTCTCTCTCCTCCGTCGGACTGTGTCTCTTGAGAGTCCACACATACAAGGTAGCGGAGAAACATGGGGTTCGGAGTTCAAGTCCCCTAAGTTCAAATATCTGCTTTGCGACTTCCTGCTCGGGGGAATCCCCCTTAGCCTTTTTGCGCTCCATACTCTCCATTTTTGTAAAAGAACAAAACTACTAATCTTGGACAACAATTTTGAAGAGCAGAAATAACCCACGGAAAGGCCCTCGGAGCACAGGTGAGCTAGGGTTTGGAAATCTTCTCCAACTCTGAAATGATCACGGTGCCTGGTGAAGGGTAAACATACCACCATGATCATGACCTTCATAACCGACAGGGAACTCCAGGTAGGGTTGACATTTGACAACTCCCTTTCCTTTCTGATTTTACTCTTACCCTCTGCCCAGGAAGCCTGTGGGAAGAGGGGCCTTACTGGTCTCTTAAGTTGCAAAACTTTTGCCTCTCCTTCTGTCCCACCTCTCTCCTTCAAAATACCTCCTGGTTTTCCACTTCTTCCTGTTCCACGGTCTCTGTCTGTGGCCTGATTCTCTTTACCTTGTGTTTATGCTAAAGTCAGTGCTGGTCTGTCCGGATAATCCACTTGTGGAGTCTGCCCATCCCCTAGGTTGCCACTGCTGCTCAGGCCAAGCTGGTGACTTCCTCATCCTTCTGATCCATCCTGTTCACTCCTGATGGACAAGTCATTTTAAAATACCACTTTCCTAGGCCACTGCCTTGCCTAAAAACCTTCTGCTGGCCCACCTTCCTAAATGCCCTTCCTCTGCTCCCCAGAGGAAGCCCTTCACTTCCAGGAGGCGGATTCTCTCCCCGAGCAGCCCAGAGGCTGCAGATTTAGGACTTACTTAGTCATCCTTTTGTCCCCACACGCCTCTCCCTAAACACCGAGCCCAAACTGCCTACCAGACTCCATCTCCTCTTTGACGCTTTCAACAGACACAGAACCCTTCCCTCAAGGGCCTCTCCTGTCACGACTCCCACCCTCTCTCATTTTTTGGAACACTGTTAAATAAACAGTTTATTGGGAAGTCTCAATATGTGGCCCTTTTCCCATCCCTTAAAGTCTTGGACAGATTCAGTAACTTCACAGTTACTTTCAATGTTTGAAACTCAGTCTTGGGGGGAGGATGTAGCTCAGTGGGAGAGTGCGTGCTTAGCATGCATGAGGTCCTGTTTCAATGCCCAGCAGCTCCATTAAAAAAAATAAGTAAAGAAATAAACCTCATTAACTCCCCCTCCCAAAAAGTTAGAAAAATAAATAAATAAGACTAATCCTCCCCCCCTTAAAAAAAACAAAAAAATAAAGTTTTTTTTTAACTAGAAAAAAAAAAAACAACTCAGTCAAAAAAAATTACAGAAAAGATTAAAAATCAAAACCAAACTAAAACCCCTCAAGTCCAGTCTAATCTAGTTTAAAGCTCCAGGTGTCCCACCAGGGTGGCAGCCTTCTCCCCCGTCCTCAGACCCAGGTCAAGGCTGACCTAGCCCTGGGGGTGGGCCAGGAGAGGGGCGGGAGGCTGGGGAGCTGAGGGAGGGGGCGGTGAGAGTCCCCGTCAGGGCTCTTCCTTTTGAGGGCCCAGCTCTCCTGCTATTGCTGCTTAAGTGTCCGTCATCGGGGTGCGGGGCGGGGGCGCAGTATCGCTGCTCACACTGAAGTGCCGCGGGCTTCTGTCTGCTGCTGGCGCCCTGGTGTCATGGTGGCCTCCGCAAGGTCAGTAAATGTAAGTTCCTCTGGGGCGACCTGTCCTTTGCACCGAGGATGCCCTAAGGAAAGTCCTCCCTAGGACCACATTCAGTGGCCCTAAACACTTTCTGAGTGCAGCTGTGGGGCTGTGATCCTCCCGCGACACCGCGGGAAGTGCTGGGCTGCCCTCCACAGCCTCCTGGGCTGCCGGTGCCCCGGGATGGGCACGCTGGTTCCCGCCTTCTTCCCAGATACATTACACCCGGGACAATTCCAACCGCCTCCGCCTTCAGAAATCCCTAGATCAGTAACAGGCATCTCCCCTTAACGCTGGGGCATGTGGCATTGGCTGGGGAAGGAGACCAGGCACCTCTCACGATGAGGGCTTCTCACAGCCCACCCCCACCCGCGAAATGTCTAATCCTGAACAGCCCTCCTGCCCTCTTCTTCTTTAAGCTGGATTGAGTTGCGGTTTTGTCACTTACAGTCAAAAGAGGTCCAACATACACAAACCCACATTTATTTACACCATATACAAAAGTAAATTTCAGGTCGATTAACCATTTAAGCTTAAAGAACCAGAGTATGAAACTATTCGTAGAAAATAAAGAAGGCAATTTATATAATTTGGGGATGGGACAGACTTTCCTAAAATTTGCACAAAGTCCAGCAGCTATGAAGGAGAAGATAGATGAATTTTTATCTACATAAAAATTCCCTGTGTATGACATAAGATACCATAGACAATGTAATAAAAACAAACAAATGTCAGGCTGGAGAAAACATTTGAAGTACTGTAACAAGTGTGGTAGCAAAGGGTTAATGTCCCTAATATACAGAAAGCTCCTACACATAAGAAAAAGATAAATCATTTAATTTTCTAGAAAGTCTAGAGACACAAACAGGTCATTCACAGAAAAATACAAATGATTTATGAACTTAAGAGAATCCTCACATTCACCAGGGGCCTGAGAAATGCAAATTAGAAAGAGAAACACGCTCTCACCTATCAGAAGATTAAACTTTAAAAGCATTAAGGATCCCCAGCGTTGCCGCAGAGGGGGAGGGAGTTAACTCTTAACACCTGTCAGTGTAGCCTTTTCTGAGGATGACTTGACGGTCTCTGTTGACATTTAACGTGAACGTATCCATTATCTTGGCAATTCTACTTCTAGAAATCTGCCAACAGCAATACTTACGTAAGTGCACAAAGGTGTGTGAAGGAGGAGTGGCAACCCAAGCGCCCATTGACAGGGGCTGGTTGAATGAACTATATCCATTCTATAGAATGAAAAGGAAGAGAGTAGTAGGTCTGTATGTGCCAACATGGAAGGAGGTCCATGACATGGTGCTGATTTAAAAAGTCAACCTGTGGAACCATCTACCTATCTATTTATCTATCTATTCTAAGGTCTTGTCTAGCATTAGGTAAAGAGCACAGATTAAGGAACCAGAATGCCTGCATTTGACTCCTGGCCCCACAACTACCAGCAGGGAGAGCTTGGGTCACTTAAGCTCTCTGTATCCCAATAGACTCGTACTCTTAAGCATTAGTGAGTCAATACACACAGAGCATTTAGAAGAGTGCCTGGCTTTTAGTGAAAGCTATGGAAGTGTTAGCTCCTGGAATATAAGTATTGCACACCAAAGTGTTAAAGAGTGGTCACCCCTGGAGAGTGGGTAGGGGTGGTGGGGGTGTAATGGAGAGACCATTACTTCTGGCTTTACCTTTCTGTATTTTTTTCAGCTTAATAAGAGCATGTTTTACTTTCAAATTCTAAGAAGAGTGAAACAAAATCATTCAATTGACACAACATTGTAAACTGACTATACCTCAATTAAAAAATATATATATATATATCCAAAATCATTCAAGATACATTGGAAAGAAAGGGATCTCTTACTGCTGGAGATGTGTTTTTAAGAAAAATGGTCTAGTAGGTCTTTTTGAATAATGAACTCGGGGCCCAGAAAGCAGCCTCCCTGAGTGAGCAGCCCCCCATTTTATTGACGAGCATCTCAGGGATGGTACAATTTAGAAATCAGTGGAATTCACAGGATACAGCCTTTGTTCTAGGACACCGAGAATGGTGTGTAAAAACTAACCCCAACGCTGCTCGTGTTACTCACAGTCCCAGAGGGGAAGTCGTCCTGTTTTCTGCCTATGTCTTCTGGACACCACGCCAACATTCTAACTCCTGCCTCCGATTCCTCTCTGTCCAAGCCCCATGGCGCCCTGATTTCCCTGTGACACCACCTCCGTGTCCCCCGAGTCACCCCTTGACCTTCCTTGCCAGGGACTCTAAACAACCATCCTGATCCCTGACATCCCTTGTAAACACAGCAGTGTCTCCGAGTGCCCCGGCCCTCCCCGGGCTGTAATTTTTCAGTTTCTTCTAATAAATGAGGGGGAACTTGGAAAGGGTCAGACTCTTACCTGGTAGGCTTTGTATTAGGTTCCTTGATAAAGAAGGACAGGGTGCAGAGGAGAAGGACAGTCACAGCCAAGAGCAAGAGCCATTGGCCAGCTTGGCCCAGATGGCTGAGTGTCCTCGGGCAGGCCCTCATGATGGTGGGTCCAGGCTTGCAAGAAATTTCTGCAAGTCCCGAGGCTTTGTTGTAGACAGGAAACAGTCTAACTCACTCAGGTCTTCTGACCGGGGAGAACATACCCCTTGTCACTCTGGTAAACGCTGAGTCTCTCAGTGTCTGCCAGGAAAAGGAGCTGCCTTTGCTGTTTTATGAAGGCTTATAGGCTGGCGTGGCTTGAAGGAAGAGAAACTCCTTCTGTTCAAACAAGTTCACCTTCTTTTTCTTTGTCTCTGAAGCTGATTTCTGAATGGAGGATTTAACAAGAAAGATACACACATTACATGGAAACTTACTTTCATCAGGTTCCAAACCCTCAGGGACGGTCTCTGGACAAGTGCATGGGTGGAAGAGCCTTGCACGGTCTCCACGCTCAACATGAAAATCAGGGAACCCAGGCAGGTTTGAGACCACCCACCACTTGCAATCTTTTCCTAAAAGACCCTTGCACAGCCCAAGGCTGGAGCTCCAGGAATGTCTCCTTTCCTGGGTATTTAGAGTAGCAGCTCTCAGTCTTGGGTGCTCGTTAGAATTGCCTGGGAAACTTAACACATCCTGATGCCCAGGCTGCACCTAAACCGATCAAGCCAGAATCTCTGAAGATTGCTATTTTTCCAGGTGCGGCTTTTTTTTTTTTTATGGTTCCTTGGGTGATTCTCTTGTGTGGCCAGCTGTGGTCCTCTACGCATCAGAGAACCAACTGATGCATAGCCATTCCGTTCAGCCTTCCCTGCCTCTCGCCTGAGGTCGTGCCCTGTGGGATGCTTCACGTTCACGAGCGCTGCCCTCTGCCACTCTAGGAGCCGCACACCGTTATCAACCCCATTTTACCCTCGAGGAAATCACCCCAGGAGTGGGCAGCTTGCCCAAGAGCACGGTGTGAGCCGCCAGCCTGGGGACCAGATCCAACTGACCTGCAGACTGTGTTCCTACCCACTGCCCAGCAGCGCCTCTGAAAAGGCATTCACTCTGCCTTGATATGAAAAACAAAACAAAACATACTCCACTTGGGGGAAATACAGAACTCAGAGAAATGCTATCAAGATCTGTTGTAGAAAACAGAAAAGTCAGAGAAGCAGCCCTTCCAAAAGTACTGGGGGTTTTTAATTTTTAAAATACTGCTTACAGTACGTGGAGCCACGCAGGTGTTTTCAAGCAGTTAAAGAGGGAAGGGTGCAGCCTGAACAGCAGGGCGTTGAGGGACTTGGGACCAGGGCACGCACCAATAAATGCTAAAATCCCCTTCCCCAGGGAGGACGGAAAGATCAGAACATGATTCCGAGCAGCTGAGAGTGACACAGACTCCCTCCTCCTCCCATGAAGGGCTTCCTTCCTCCCATGCCACCACCCTTGGTAACTCATGGAGTGGGCTGGAAGCAAGGAGAGAAAACCCTTCAGTACTGATTCAGCACACCTAACCGGTAAGTGCTCATACACCGACTCTATTAACATTTTCTGAAAAGATCCAAGTCACTTCAAACTCTGCTTTAACTGACCTTTTGCCTTGGGTTTGGCTGCATACTTGGCACCAGCAATGACCTCGCACCCTGGTAACTGTTTGCAGTGCTAAGCAAAGAAAATGCACATTGGGAAGGGACTTCCTTACCCACAGCACTGGTTTGCCTAAACAGAGTGTCTGTTTCACCTTAACCCCATTTGCAGAAGGCACTGGCTGTATCAGGGTTCGCTCTGATCTCTGGAGATCTAGTTGAACGCCTGGGTGCCAGCTGAGCTACTGTACATAACCTGTTCCTCTCACCACCCTAGGGGTGGGAGTTCTTGGAGCCAACAGGTAGGGCTGGGGTAATTCAGAGTTCTAGCTTCCTGGTTCTCAAGTTGCAGCCGAAGGTGCTGTCGCATATGTGTGTGTGTGTGTGTGTGTGTGTGTGTCTGTGTGTGTTTTTCTGCGTGTGCGCACACGCATGCATGTGTGTGTGTGTGCCTGGACAGAATGTGAAATCCAGAGTATAAATTTTATTTTTATTTTATTTATTTTTTTTTTGGTGAGGGAGGTAATTAGGTCTATTTATTTATTTACTCTTAGAGGAGGTACTGGGGATTGAACCCAGGACCTCAGGCATGCTAAGTAGGCACTCTACCACTTGAACTCAACCCTCCCCACTTCAGAGTATAAGTTTTAGTGGAAACTGACTTGCCAACAGTTTTTCAAGTATCATCACAATTTTTGTGTTCAGTAATATCTCCTTTCCTCTCCTTTTTCAAGCAAAGCCTTTTGACTTAAATCTTCTTTATACACCAGCCAATAGGATGGGTGAGACCTTAGTGCAGATAAGAATTGTTAAAAGATTATCTTCAGCAAAAGGTAAAATCATGACTCTCATTCACGAAATTGTGTTCCAGATTTTATTCTCTTCATGAGAGAACCAGGCAGATGTAATAACTGAGTCCAAAGGGAAGTGGAGGAGCGCACACTAATATAAAGTAAGGGCTGTGAAAACGAATTGCCCACGGTTTTTCCACAGGCAGGAGGGGAATCACGGACAGGGCATAATCTGCATGTTTATCAACAACGTACAATTTACAGAGTTGTAAAATTGCTCAGAGATGATGGGAAGCTGAAATTGGCCAACCTGAAGGGATGTCCTCTAGACAATGCACATTTTTCCAAGGAATCACAACAGATTTCAAGAGTGACTGTAGGGGGAGGATATAGCTCAGGGGTAGAGTGCTTGCTTAGCATGCATGAGGTCCTGGGTTCAATCCCCAGTACTGCCATTTAAAAAAATAATAATTAATAAATAAACAAATAAACCTAATTACCCCTCCCCAATTTTTTTTAATTAAAAAAAAAAAAAAGACAGAGAGTGAGTATGCCTTGGAATCACTCCAGGACTAGATTAAAAAAGGGTCCAACCATTGAATCCCCTCTGTTATGAGATACACCTGATGACTTAGAGGGAACTGATGCAATGGAAAGGGGTTTGCTTTCTAGAAGTCAGCTTTTTGGAGATGGAGGAAAACTGCATTCAGTGCTCCCATCATATGCCCTGTCTTTTCTGATTCTATTTTCTGTGCCAAGCCCACCCCTAACTTTTTTTTTTAACAGCCTGCTTGAGATAAAACTTACGTACTACATAGTTTATCCACTTAAGTGTACAATTCGATGGACCGTAGTGTATTTAGAATTGTGCAACCATACCCTAATCTAATTTTAAAACGTTTTCATCATGTCTCAAAGAAACTATGCCTGTTAATAATCCCCCTCTCCCTCAACTCTCGTTCTTCCCTTTCCAGCTGGAGGCAACCTCCCAGCTGTCTCTGAAGATCTGCCTATTCTGGACATTTCATATAAATGAAATCATGTAACATGCGGTTGCTTGTGACTGGCTTCTCTCACTTAGCGTGATAGTTTTTAGGGTTTGTCCATGTTGTAGCAGGTGTCAATGCTTCATTCCTTTGTATTCCTGAATAATAATATTCCATTGTATGGAGATACCGCATTTTGTTTTTCCATTCATCAGTTCGTGAACATTTGGGTTCTTTCCACTTTTTTTGGCTATTATGAATAATGTGGCTATGAACATTCAATGTACAGGTTTTGTGTGGTTATATATTTTTGTTTCTCTCGGGTAGACACCTAGGAGTGTAATTACTGGATTGTATGTCAGTTCTCTGTTTAAACTTTTGGGGAACTGCCGAACTATTTTCTGGGGTGGCTGCCCCCTGTACTTTCCCACCAGACATACCTGTGAGTTCCATGGCCGCATTCTCGCAAGAATTCACCGTCTTCTTTATTCTAATCGTTCTGTTGTGTGTGAACAGGCATGTTGTGGTTTCTACTTGCGTTTCCCTGACGGCTGATAGCATTGAATATTTCTTCACATACTTATTAGCCATTCATATGTCATCTTTGGAGAAATGTCCAGTCAAATCTTTTGACCATATTTCAGCTGGTTGGTTTGTCCCATTATTGAATTGTAAGTGTTCTTTGTATATTCTGAATACAAATCCGTTATCAGATGTATGACTTGCAAATATTTTCTCCCAGTTTGTGGGTTGTCTTTCCACTATTAGTCATAGAAGTATTTGTTGACAGTTATGGGTTTTATTGTGTCAACACTGAGCACTGGATCAAAGTGCTCTTAAATTGGTCTTAAATAAGTTTATGATTGAATGTTTGTGACATGGGCCCTTCTAAAGTGCAGGGTCCAGCTAAGGAGCCATTCTTATCCCTGTCTGAAGGTGATACTGCTCTATACTCCCCTTGGGCCAAACTTTCCTTTTTTTCTAGCTAGAACGCCCCTGGTTCCTAAAGCCACAGTATTTCTCTCTGTCATGGGCTCAGCTGGCATATCCATTTCTTAGCCGTTTCTCACAGAAACACAAAGGCGAAAATAATGTCGTTTGGTAAAAAAGAAAAAAAACTAGAACTTTAGCTCGTCATGAATCTTTGTTGTTTAATGAAGCCAGTGATTAAGGGTGCCCCAGGCAAAGATTCAATCGTAAATTGGCTTTCTAGCCTTTCTTGCACACAAAATGTTCTGCCTCCCGGATGGTCACACTCAACAGGTGCGTTTATCTTGGACACTGAATCTGTATCAGATGGACCATTGAGAGCCCTCCGGGCTGCTGGACAGGCCAGGCAGACCCCAATAGACTTATGCAATGACATTTCTTCAGTCTCTGGACACAACTACAGTATTTCTTGTTCTCTGAAGACTCCAGTATCGACAACAGAGCCCTAATTCATTTTCTAAGACCATAGCTTACGATTCCCCAGGGCATGGTAGGTCTTCTACCATCCCACTTCCGCTCCTTTTGGAGGAATTAGTCTGATGGGAAGGTAGGTGTACACCTCAGCCCAGGGTCATGGCAACAAGTGCCCCTGAAAGAAACATGTCATGACATCAAAGTTCTTGCGGGTGAATTCGTTTAATTTAGAGAGACTATCACATGCTGGACTTCTGGGGTGGGAGCTGTACACTCGTGTGTGACCGTGTGACCGAAGACATGTGGGTCCACTGGAGGGACACAGGAGGGGCACCTGACCAGCACGAGCACCAAGAGGTTCCCCATGCCTCGTCCCCACCATGGCCAGTGAGACCCACAGAATGATGTGGGCCCCAGACACACAAAAGGCAGCACCAGGAAGGCTGAGGATGAGATTCAGGCAGGACAACTCTTGCCTGACCACATCCAGCCCAGATTCCCCCCAGTACCCAGAGGGGAAGGGTTGAGAATGAATGGCCAAATTGCACAACACTGTTCATAATTGTTGTGTTGAAGGTGCTTTTGTGGAGAGGTTCTCAGGGTTGGCAGGAGACTTATTTTTAACTATATTTCCCAAAATCGAACAAACACCTTCCATGCTGCAGGTGCAGAGATGAGCAACACAGATCAAGTCCTTGTTACGAAAACAACAGGCCAGCCAAGAAACAAGTACCACTCGGAGGGTTGAAGTACTCAGATGTATTACACCGGTGGGCTCAGAGGGGCTTCTGCTCCGAAGCTCTGAGCACCTCCAAGACGTGCGCATGAGGTTTTATAGTGAAGTACAAGCTTGGGGTATTCGGCCAATAGGCATGGAACAGCTTTAGCAGCATCATTATCACAAAAGTGGAGGCAGGGAGGCAGCAAACCAACATTCCAAAGCCAGATATATCTCTGAAAATCCAGCTGGCTAGCAAAAAAAACATGAACAGGGAATCAGCAAACCAACACTAATTAACTTAGATTTACGAGTTAGTCCAGCAGAACTCAGATCAGTATTCTGATACTTAGATTTGTGGGTTATCTGGCTTTTCTTGTGAGCTCAGCCCAGCCTTTGTTTCACATTCCTAGACTTGTGAGTTATCTTGTTGGACCAGCCCGGCTTTTCCTTCACATCCTAACCTCATGGAGGTTAACCTCCTCCAGCAGAGACAGGTGAGACTCAGTGAACAGATACTGATCGGTGCTGTGAGGACCAGTGAAGGAGGGTGAGAGCCGTGGTCAGAG